CAGGTTTATTTTTTACACTTTTTATTACCTTTAAATCTCCTCGAGATGTGTGTGTTTATTTATAAGAAACAGGGTGTGATAATTTACGATATTATTGTTCATTCGCTCCGTGCCGTACGTGTGTATGAACAATTAGAAAAATAAATTACTGGTAGTTAGTTAATTTTGAACTATGTTTCAACGTGCAATCCACGTCGAAACGTCGGACGGCAATAAAGGAGCAGGTATGTAGGTACTATTTACCTGCAAAAATCTTTCATCGCGTTAAGTTCTAATAGTGTATTTAAAATAAGTTAATGGTAACTTAGTTTGTCTGGAATTAATTTTTTTCTTCTATTAGAGTTTTTTTTTTTGTATAAATGTAAATTTGATTATTTTTTTTTAAATATAATATTATATTATCGTTAAATGTTTCGTAAGCACACATTATATTTTAATGTAATAATTACCGCTCATGACTAAGGGTCACGAACTGATTCCGAAACTAGTTGAGATTTTTTTGATCTAATTATACGTATGTAAAACCGGTAGTTATAACATTAAAATTTAATATTAATTATTGAAAAAATATTTCCGATTACGTCCGCATTGTTAAGTGTCATTTAAATCATAAATAAAAATCTAAATAAAGTATTTAGTTATCGCGTAACGGAAAAAAAATTTAAATTCTTAAATTTTGACGTGTTTTAATTACAAACTGCTAACGATGATTAATATAAAAATGACTTTAACTGAATTTCACACATTATTATATATACACAATTTACTGAATCGAAAATTTTCTAAATTGACCTAACCGGGAATCGAATCCGGGACCTCATCTAGGCAAACCAACGTGTCCGCCGCTGCACCACAGAGGTCAACATTATAGGAGATAGAGTATAAAATAAAAACACTGTAAACAAAACGACCATATGTCTGTACAGGACAATCAAGTATTATAATTTGACATTGTATAATACGGACGTTGTCATGCGGCCGTGTAAAGGTCGGATTTATATATTCAATGTAATTTAAAGCGACTCAGCGACACGGCGCGATCCTGTCTTGTTTTTCATTGAAAACTGGTTTTCCGATATGCGTAATTTTACATTTGCGAATTTGCTATTATTCTTTTCAATATTACAAATAAAAAATTACCTCTTAGTGACTTTAATGGTACAATTACCATTAAATTTGGCATACAGATAGTGTAGGATGCAAATAAATATACACTTTTTTTACCTCCATTACGCGAACGAAGTCGGGCAAAGCTAGTATGACATAAGAGCGTAATAAACTGGCCATTTACATTATAAGTAATTAAGATTGTGTTCTATTAAAAAAAAAAAACTACTTTAATTGTAGTAAAACCAGTTATTTTGATTTAAAAACTAAAGTATTGGACCGATTTTGATTTAATTTCTATGGGACCAATCTGTAAGAATATATATTTTGTAAGTACTTACTATATCTTTTTTTATCGTCTCAGATAAAAAAAAAATCCAAATTGGTTTATAACTGACGGGGTTATGAAGTAATAAATATAAAAAAAAAGGGAAAAAACATATAACCGAAATAATAACCTCCTTCTTTTTAATGTTGGTTGGAAACTATATTTATTTATTAAACTTTAATTCACGTAAAAAATGTAAATGGCGGACTTAACACCATATGGCGTTATCTACCAGTCGATCGTAGACAGGAATAAAAGAAACTATAATTGACGGCGCAACGTAATGAATGGAATATTATATTGTAAAATTTAGTTCTTCTGTCTGTCTGTCTGTCTGTCACAACAGTATATCTTAACGGTGTTGTTCTTTTCAAAAAGAATAACAAATACCAACCAAACAATTGCAAAAATTTAAAAAATATTTTATATTATTTTTTATAAAGAAAAGAACATTGCATTAAAATAATAGGAAAACTTTTTTTTTAATTAAAAAAGAAAATAATTTAGTTTTAATTGTACCTAACTGTTAATAATATAGCTGAACGCCACCTACCTACACACACACACACACATTTCTATTAATTAAAGAACATTTTTAAGGGGATTGGTTTTTTACGATCTATTATGGGGTTGAGTCGTGAATGTATTTCGTCATGCTATCTAAATAATAAAATCGTAAAAATTTACGAGTTCATGCATAGAATAATTTTTGGAGACGTCCTGCTGCTTAAAAACAGGGATGGTTCTAATGGTAAGAAGAAACATAATTTTAGTTTCTTAAAACTGAATAAGTTTCCTCTAGGGGCTAGTACGAAACCTATTAAAAATAAAAATAAAAAATCATTTAGTTACTACGCGGTCACTTTTTTTTTATACAACTTACAATGGCAAACAAGCTGACGGCTCACCTGATGGAAAGTGGTAATCGTCGCCTATAGACATGAGCAGTACCATGGACATAACAGAGTATACTGTTTCGCCTATGATACCCCCCATGCGTTGCCATTCCTGAGGACTCAAATGTTATTTCTCTGTACCCTGTAAATTCATGTCATATCCCACCCTTCAAACCGAAACACAGCCATGCAAACACAACTGTTTCACGGTAGAAACACGAATGGGACAAAGGTACCAAAGCAATCGACTTTTGTACAAAATCTCCGTCTGGTAAATCACGTGATCAATTTCTTGTGGAATGTTTAAAAAATTCATTCAGATTTCGACTATATTTCTTGGGTAAAGTCGTTCAGTTTCATAAATACAATCACTATGTAGATTTTGGCTGGATAAGTATATCCGTTACGACTAACCTGCATATCGTTGATACAGATTTTTATTATATGCAACAGTGTTTACTACTGTACATTATGGAACATCTGTTACGTCGTGTGCAACGTAGTACGACCTTGTATATGTTCCATACATGAAGTGGTGACACCATCAACACACACACAAACGTATCCTTCAACTATAAAACACTATTACATAATCATAAATAATTAACTATGCTAGAGATCTGTGGTAAAACAAATCGAAATAAATACACGAGTAAACAAGATAATGCAGCAAAAAGTTGCATATTTGAAAATTAAATAAAATTAGTTTTTTATTCCTTGACAGCAGAAACACGCTTGAGAAAGGTATACACATGCAGCGATCTCCATATGTGTACCTTTCCCTCGTTTCTGTCAGTGTCCATCTGACATATCATCATCACCATGTCAGCCTTCAACCGTGCACTGCCGAACACAAACCTCCCCGTTGAGGGGTTTTGCCAATAGTTGCCACGCTTGGTAGGCGGATTGACAACCGCAGTCAGGTTTTGTATTGTTTTAAGCTGACCATCCTTCTCCTTCCGTTAGTCGATTCTAACAACGCCCACGAAAAAGGACATATACTACACAATAATTTAAAACACGTCGAGTTTTTAAAAATATGCCATCAATGCATTAATTTTCCAGTTGACTTTATGAACCCTAAAAACTCCACCTAACTAATAAACATTAAAACAAAAACTAGCCATCATAATGAAATTATATTATTTAATAACCATTTAAAGTATTTTGGAATACTATTATTTATAATTTAATGGACCATAAAATTAAACCAATAGATTTTACAAAGAAGTAGAAATAATGTTTAAATACCCATATTTGTTTATAAGCATTATTAACAGGGAAGATCTATGGTCAGCAGTGGACAGTTAACGGCTGATGTAATAATAATAATAATAAAAATAATAATTGGTATATTGATTTGAAACAATATTCTTTAGAAAAGTAAATAATAAAACAACAAACATATGTAAACTTAAAACTATGTAAAGGAAGAGGTTGCAAAACTGAACGTCGGAGGAACTACTCGTATAAAACTGTACAATAAATTTCAGTCTCCAAACGCGTTGAAAAGGCTAAACCTTTGGAACTCACATTACAAATAGATATTAATAAATATAATAGTATATAGTATAATATTTAAAAAAAAATTGATAAAATATAATACTTATATTAGGGGGGAGAACGGATTGTTAGTAATGGGGATTAGTAGTCCCATTGCTAGCAATATACTCTATCAGGTCGACCTCCTCTTGGTTCCCCCTGGAAACCTATGTGATTGCTTTATTGTTAGATTCATCACAGTGGACTTACTGACCTGCTTTATTCTCACCTATCATCCCTCACTGGTGCCCCGCCAGTGTATACCGATAGCGCAGGCGGAGTTACCATTCAATTATCATGCATTAAAAATATCCTTATATTAAAAGATTCATAATATATTGCTTTATTACATAGTTATCATGTTTGTCAACAGCACACATTAATATATGTCAAACTATACTAGAACTAAATTACTAATACTGAATGGTACGATGTCTCAGGTAAATACCTATAGTTTATACAAATTTCTCATTGAGAATAGACTATAAAGCAGTTAATGAGACAGTAAAAGCCAGAATACTATTTGGTCCCCACCCACGAGGCCTTCCAGGAATAGAAGCGGCCGTCATAAAAGAAGCACAGAAACAAAACCGCAAACTCGACTAACTCATACTAATGAAACCGAATTAACATGTTGAACAACAATTGCTATGACTACACACAATTAATAGCACTTAAAACATGTTTCAAGTTTTACGGAATATCAAACGAACACAACTTTCGGCAAATACAAGTCGATTCGGAGATATTTCAAATGTGTTGACACATTAAGACAGAGCTCACACTAAACACTCCAAAAATAACAAGCTGGCATCCATCGTGTGAATTACAAAAGAGTTGTGCGGACACACAACTAACAGTAACACTTCACGTAATCAAGTTTGTAAATAAACACGCAACGAAAACACCGAAATCTGCGATGCACTCGAACGCATCTAATGAAAACAATTTAACTAAATAGATAAAAATAAATAGAAGCTAGCGTAGGCAATGGCAGTCACCAGATTCTAGATCGTAATGAACTCGATGAGTTTGTAAACAAACACACGCGGCTCCACATAGCTAATGTTTATTGAATCAATTGGGGGGATAATAAATAAAATAATAAATAATAAATTAATACTCACAGCCCGGCGATATTCCGTTCTCCTTCATAGCGCAGCGGAATGGGTAATAAGTGCCTGGTAGCACCTTGCCGTACATTGTCCGATCCATCTTCGACCAATCGTGAGGCTGTTTATTAGAAATAAAACACCCACCAGGTCCACACTGTTCAAAGCACCATAATCACCACCTACACATCAAATGAGTAAACAGCGACCTACGCGACGCGAAAATGCAGTAATCACCTGCAATTACTACGAGTACAAAGGTACGAGACTGGAGTACCTGAATATAAATGCACAATTACCATACGCTTTTATTAACATCAAGGATATAAAGTTGATACGTTTACGATTGGTATTCGGTGGCGGTCATATCGCTGATTTTGTTCGGTTATCGGCAAAAATAGTGATAAGTGATAAAGATAAGGCATAGAGGCCGAGGGCGAGGTCACGCGCGACGTCTACGCGTCTCTGCTACGAGTAGAGTATTCGTCAACGCGTCCCAGTCACAACTAAAGTCTAGTGGTAATACGCCAACGGCACCGGCGCCGACGCACGCCACTCCAGCCTCACCGGCTGGAGATTATTTATACTCAACAAGCGGCTTAACAAAATGCATTCGTCAAAACCTATTGTTCCGGCGTCAACTGATTTATGAGCTAACTGCACGCTTAATTTTCTAATTAGCTTTAATTATGGAAATTACAGAACTTTTTCTCCGCCAATTGCTATAATGGTTTGACTTGAGGATTAAACGATGTGTCAGCATAAAAATTAGGTTTACCATTGGATCAAAAGAAATTTAAAGTTGACCAATAAAATTATCATCAGAGGAATACTTTAAATATTTCGACCGATGAATTCGTGTAAATAAGTAACATAGGGAAGGGATCAGTCACATTTTTAGACTGTGAATTCTAATTTAGCTGCCGAGTACCGCCAAATTCTATGGCTCCCACAGCATCCGGCCGCGACCCGATGCTCCCGAGTATCTCTTGACATAAAACTTCCGGCTCATCATTTTCAATCCATCTCGTCTCAGATTTACGATTGTCATTAGAAAGAAAAGTAGCGGGCCACGCTTTGATCTATCGCTTAGATGACGGGTTTCTAGTGAACTTCACAATTTTATCATCATAGGCTACTGGTATTACGGTCATTAATTATTTTATTTCAATTTCTAGTAAATCTGTTGTCATATGATATTTAGATGCACCACATCTGGTTATAATTATCAATGGACAGATAAATTTAAATAGTGATTTGTCGTTACACACTGTTGTAGCATCAACAGTGAATAATTAAATATAATATATAGAAAAAGGAACCTCAATTTTAACTTATTACTATGTGATCATTCCTAAAGCAACATTTAATTATAACTGTCCAAATCTTGGGAAAAACTCCCATCTTTAGAAATTTAACTAATCAGATTTTTTTAGATATAAAATATCTCGTTCATCTGTTTAAACATGAAAACAAGAATCTGGTACTTTCTAATTCCAATAAGAACAGTTAGGCGATATTCAATTACAAATTCGGTATTTAGTGCTCATTAAAGAGCAAGTTCCAATTGCTCGATGTGCGTTTACAATCGCCAACAGTGCCATTGTTCCTGGCCTGGCCCCGGTCAGATCTCTAATAAGGAAGTAAATATTTGAACTGGTCTCGCTAACTCACCCACTTACATAGACACGAGGGTGTAGCGGGCAGAAGACTTGTATTGATAAAGTACACATGTTTTGCATATTACAAAGACCATCTTTGTTATGAAATTTCTAATATTAAAATAGACATCGTATGGTTACTGAGTAAGGATTTCTGTTTTAGTTATTTTTTTGTTTTTAGGACGTGGTTAAAGACTAGAAATTATTAAGAAAACTAAAAACAGTTTATACACCAACTAACTAACCGAGCAAATCCATCTTTTGCCTCCAATCATCATCTATTGAATCTATTTTTTTATCGAGATAGTAATTACCCTACCTCTCTAGTTGGAGCAAATAATACACAGTTGCAAATCACATTAAAATCGGTTTAGCAGTTTCGAAGATTAATGTAAACATGACACTTGGACTCAGAATAAAATCCTGCAACAAACGACCTCGTCAGAGTCCTTACTGAACGAGGAGAAATAGAGACCAACAATGGATTATTATTATGTTTTATCCTTACTTTATAAACTTAAATGTAAATCGGTAACATCTTCAGAATTATAGTATTTGTCATAAAAGTTATATTGAAATTCAAGGATAGGTATTTCACGTATTATGAAATCGTGTGTAGACGTAGTAGACTTTGTTCTTGACAAATATTCGAAATTTATTTGAGATAATCAGTATAAAAATAAAATCTCAGTACGGGGGTCCGTCTAAAAAAAATATAGACCTAATCCAGCCACACTAGATCGATTGTGTAGATTGAATCTATGCCTTGATTTCAATAATTATTTGGCGACAACAAGTAGCACATACGACTTCACGAAACCTCCGAATTTTCTTTCAAGATAATAAACATTATTCGGTACAGTCTTATTCTGAGAATTTAGTAACGACGACGTACGGCGTAACTTTAATCGTGCGTTTCATTTGTTGAGATGATCATAAGAAATTATATTCATTACTTGTTCATCGATGAACGGAGAAATAAAAAAAATGTCTATCAATCTTTCCATTTTCCAAATAAATGCATAGAAAAACGAAATAAACGTTAGTAGTGAAGATTCTAATTTCTAATATAAATACTATTTAGTACTATCATCTCAAGTAATAATAAAAACCACACGAATTTGCCAATTACCTGACTCTTAAAATATACCTTGTTACGAGAAACCGGACAACAAACATATAGCACTACAACCCTGATCACCTGAGCATGATATCTAAAATCATCCTGACCAAGAATCGAATCCGGGATAGACAAAGCAATGACCCTATTGCGCTGTGGATGCCGTCATACTATGATGACACGAGTAGTATGTGGTTGTAATGTAACGATAAAGGTCTATACGTCGTGGGACGCTTGAAACCGCGCCAAGAGCAATCAGGTCCAATAGTCAAGGGTGAAATTATAAGCAACATCAATAGCCGAACGATATTGAATGTTTATAAACATAATATTTTATTAGAGAGCAATAAATAAAACCGACAAGGTTAATTTGAAGAAATTGCATCTATAAAATACGCACTGTATCTTAATAAAGTTAGCAGATTGATACCGCGTTTGCGTGCTGGTATATTTTTTTTTTTAATTGTACAGATCTTTTTTTTTTTTATTTAATTAAATATTCACATTATTCACTATTATTTCTGTGAACACACGTGTCTACACGGCGGACGCGTACGACTGACGGTTGTTGGGGACGCGATACGCAACTCATCGGCTGGCCCGTGGCCCGTGACGTGATAATGACATCACCGATCGTCATAAAACCAAAGCGATAGCACGAATAATTCCTTTTACGATGTTAGAAGTAGGTTAAGCAACAAAATATCAATGGTAACCATACCACAGGGACACTTTATATAAAAGTCATCTGCTTGAATACTTCCTGTCCGTGTTCCGCTTCGAAGGGTGGAATATGGCAGTGACATTACAGATTTTTTTAATGGATGACGATGGAATGGTAATCCCTACTGCGCTATCGGTATACCTTGACAAGGTGCTAGTGAGGGATGATGGTGAGGATAAAAACAGGTCAGCCTATCATGACAAATTCAAGAAATAACCAAAATATTTTCCATGGGGAACCGCGTGGAAGTCAACCTGATAGTGCTTTCTGTGATATCCATGATACTGTTTAAGTCTATAGGTAATGGTTATCAATTTGTTGTTGCCATCACCTTGTATGACCTTTTATATTGCACAAAAAAGTAATTAAAAAAAAGGTACTTAACTTCATACTTAAGTACCCTCTTTTTCTTAAATTAATATTGATTATAATTAATTAAACCTTAATAAGGTGTTAATGGTTTTTTCTTACGTCACTTTTAATTTCATCGGAATCAACATTAAACAATTGTTAAATCTGATTCTGTTATCAACAACTTCTAGTATAGTTCTAGTGTAACGAGTATATACTCGTTGGCATGGATTTTTGACAATTGTACCTCGGCCTATTTACTCTACTTATCTAGAGAAAGACCGAATTTAATTTTTTCATTTCCAGTTAATTTAGAAATTGGCTTTGAAGCTTTAACTTCGATACAATGTTAACGAATATCAAAAAGTTACCTTCGGTCGAAAACTAATATCATCTTGTTTATTCATATGATCCAATCGTCCTAGATATATCATATGTTAATTTTTTTCTGTTAGTTATGTATCTGCCAATTTCCGAAGCTAAAGCATAGAAATGCTCAAATAGGTCAGTTAATCATCTAAATATGGCCGTCACTCGATGTCGTTTGACCTCGTTGATCCACATAGGGCAACGAGCACAGATGAAAGTTAAAGCGCTTCTTTTGAACTTTCATTGACTTAAAATAACATTTGCTCCATCTCTATGAACATTACGGTAGGCGTGTCACTGTCCCCACGTATTACGAAATTAAAAACACAGCACGTTAGATAATTTGGTTAATTAAGTTAAAAGAGTGGGGACGAAACTAAAAACACGCCATGACACAGCGGTTCGTGGACATTTACGTGTTGATGAGGTTTTCTATTTGTAATGTAAACGAAAATTGGGGTAACATATTAGACGTAATATGAAGATAATAAATAACGACAGCTCGTATTTTAAATACACTATGAAAAATTTGTAGTAAATTGTACCTACGTTCCTTCTGCCTCTTTATTGCCGACATTTCTAGTATTAACCTGCAAATTTTTCGTCGCGCTAAGTCCTGATAGTGTATTAAAAAATGTGTAGATTCCCAGAATTCCACCTGATAGAACATTGCTAGCAACTTTCTTCAGGGTCGGCAACGCACGCGTCTGGTATTGCAGGTATTCATAGGCTACGGTAACCACTTACCATCAGGTGGGCCGTATGCTTGTTTGCCACCTCAGTGGTATAAAAAAAAAGTTAGGTAGTAAATTTCCATTACTAACAATACCTTCTAGCCCTACACAATATTGCTTACTTATATAGTATGTACAACAAACAATCGAATCTTTTCTCTATATATTAATATATAGATTAGTATAGATTATCAAAAATTAATAGATCCACTGATGACTTTATTTACTGATACCATAGATTAACCTATTTTATCATAATAAGTGAGAATTAAGGCAATCATCATCCTCTCAGGCAAGGTAAAGTAAAATTTTAACATTTATTATATTTCAACCTCTTCGAACATCATTTCAGGTTGTATTCTTATAGAAAATTGATGTTACAGGAATAATAATTTGCTTTTGTGGGTCTGGTCACTTTTATGATACTTCCTACTTCTGATTCTTATTTTAAATGAAGAAAACTTACATTAATCTTATGCTCTCATAACGTAAACAATTTGTCTGAACAATAACGAGCATTCCTATTT